CTCCACTCCCCCGTTTTGGCCCCTGCTTCATAAGGACACTGCCCTAAGGACAGAGGCAGTGGTTTATGATAATGGATTTCGCGGAAACCCACGATCTGGTAGCTCTCTCATTTGTCCGCTCTGATGTTTGTAGCGCTCGTGCTACTTGTCAGGCCTATCACATCACGATAGGAGACACGTGTAGCATGCTGAAATCATGCTCTCATTTCTTATCCCCAACCTAGTGTTTAAACAAGCCATGTATTTACAGGGAGCTGGCACGGTCAAACATTGGTGGAACCTAGCCCCTCTATTGGAACCCTGAGTCACCTTGACATCTCGCCAACCATAACCCATCCCTGTAGCTTCTCTCTTGGTGTTTGCCTTGCTTGCCTGGTGTGTTGCTGGTGCAACCTCTTGTGCACGTATGATTCCGAGTCTCCTGGGCTTGGCATCAGTCTATGTCAGTAGCTTTGAGGACAAGAGTCATCAGAAAGGTACTGAGACATTGCGTGTTAAAGACATATATGCAGACTGCAATAGAATGCGCTCTCCCTCGTTCACTCAAGGACTCCCTTATCGTTCCATCATCATAGTCTGTGATGTATCACGTGTGCACACGACGTCTTCCATGCTGTGGGTTCAGGTAGCTGGAGGGTGTGGGGCTCAGGGGCACGGTCCCCAGATCATTCTCCTTCAGAACTTGGGCTTTTTATGTGTGCACCCTGTGCTTGCTGTTGTATCCAGTGTCCCTTGGCATCTGGTCCAATCACACTTATCCAAGTTACCAACCTTGACATGTAGTTGAAATCATGCTTGTATGCAACGCAACTGCATGCAACAACAGCACTCCATGCTACCTCCGCTGAGGGCCTTAGGAAGCGCACTCAACCCTGCTAGATGGGAGTCCAAGTGCTGCCATGCCATGCACGCCGCGTTCACGAGTTGTCTTCGGATGTGCTTTCTTCCAGCTACCTGAACAGGAACGTCCTCTCTGGCGATGTGTACGGCATCACACGCAATATGACCAGCCTTGTCACGCTGCACGTGCATGGGGGGAATCGCATATGGCATGCACCATGTGCTATTTGCCATGTCCCAAGTCCCATGTGCCAATGGGCCATGTGTCATTTGTTACTTGCCTTGGTGTGTTGAGGGGGTCCTGAAAGAGCCCATTCTAAGAGAGCATTGGATTGGGAAGGAGGACTACAGATAGGACTGAAAATGCTTGTTACACCAAGCCCCTTCCTTTGGTCCGATGGTTTACACCAAGCCCCTTCCTTTGGTCCGATGGTTTACACCAAGCCCCTTCCTTTGGTCCGATGGTTTACACCAAGCCCCTTCCTTTGGTCCGATGGTTTACACCAAGCCCCTTCCTTTGGTCCGATGGTTTACACCAAGCCCCTTCCTTTTGTCCGATGGTTTACACCAAGCCCCTTCCTTTGGTCCGATGGTTTATCTGTATGTTCAAGGCTCATCTGCTTGCGCGCTGGTAATTGCTGACCAGCATCAAACACATTCTTCCAACAGAACACTGCATCTTTCGTCTGCACCACCCTGTGCGTGCTCACTTCTCACCCACTCTTGTCACACCCCTGCTCATGCGCCATTTTCCCACCCACTCCTCGCCTTGGCTCTCCCTGCCCTCGCCCCCCCTTCTTTACAGTGACATGTCAGCCAACCAGTGACAGGGTGACTGCCATTGCCCCTGTCGCCCTACCTGCAGCCAACCCGTTCCCGCCCTACCTACCCTACACCCACCGCAACTTCTTCTTCCACGGGACCATCATCCCGCCCGAGGCCAACCACACCTACCTTGGCAACGCCTTTGAGCGTTGTCTGCTCAACGCATCCCGGGCGCCTGGAGACTACTTGGAGCAGAGGAGTGCAGAGGAGTGTGGTGCGTTTTGTGGGGTTTCTGCTGGGGATTGCCAACCCCTGTGCAGCGGGCATGTCATGTGCTCCTTCAGTGAGTCTGTGCAGGAATCAGTATACACCTGCGATAGCAACTTCGACAACCAGGCCGGACTGCCCTCGTGCTCCTACAGTTGTGTGTATACACAAGTTTTGGGAGAGACTGAGTGATCTGGTGTAAGAAGCAGATGGCACTCTCTTGTTGTGCCCTTTGATTGCGTTGCATACCCTGCTTATTCCTCGTAATTGTTACCATTACAGCTGCATCGCAGTTGAAACCTCTCGAACTCCTGGTGTTGATTTATTTACATCCAAGCATAGTTCTTCCATTCCGTTTGCACCCATCTGCCTTGCCTCGCTCTGGATAACCCTGCAATTCTCCCTTCAACCAAATCATCACAGACAACAGCAGTCTCCCTGGCAGGTGCAGCACCGCAACCATTCAATGGCACCATCATCCTCACGCCCCCCTCCAGCAACACGTCAGGAGCAGCACAGTGCAGCGCCCATCTGCCTCTTCCTTTTCATCGACAACCCTGGCCCGTGTAGCACGCCCTTTGTGTTCAATGCCTTCTTTAGCTTCGCCAGTCAAGTACATGGGGGGAGAAGGTTTTGTGTCAGTCGTAGGTCACTTTCAGGTCACACTCAGATCGCTCTAGAAACTCTCATAACGAGAGTCTCATATCACTTTCAGGCCACTCTCAGGTCACTTTCAGGTCACTCTCAGGTCAAACTCAGGTCAATTTCAGGTCAATTTCAGGTCAGTCTCGTATCAGTTTCAGGTTGGTCTTAGGTCAAATAAGGTCAAATTCAGGTCAGTCTAAGGTCAAACACGGGTCAGTCTTTTGGTCAGTTTCTGGTCAGTCTCATGTCAGCCTCATGTCAGTCTGAGGCCAGTCGTGGGTGCAGGTATGATGCAGGGCCATGCCTTCCACAAACACGAGATACCCACAATCTCCCACACTACCCTTTGTCCTCCCCCACCCTACCGTTAGCAACCAACTGACCTACGTACTATTGGCGCTTTAGCCCCAACAAGCCATATTTAGCAGCCACAAGGCCAAGATTGGCACCCAGAACAATGAGCAGGGGACTCTCGATGCTGAACTGGCTCTCATGAGAGGTTAGGTACATTATTAGAAAGTGTGCCCTACTTCTTAGCATTCAGATTCCTCACCTCCCTGCCTTTTTTCCTGCCATGATAAACGTACGTTCATGATTTCTTGGCGGTTGAAGGCTGAGTTCGTAGTCAAGCTGCAAGGATACATTATGGTTCAAACTACAAATTGTATCAATAAAGATTTCATTAACCTTGGACTGTGCGTGCTCCATCCATTCCACAACACAGTAACTTGCACTGTTCCAAATTAAAATGGTTCACAACCATCTGCAGTGCCTTGTTTGAATGATGTGTTTTCATCTAGAATAGAGAGTAATTAATCAGAAATGTTACAAATTGGTTAGCTTGGAAGATGTCACACGTGTGAGCACAGTCAGTGACAAATCAGGCTAGGAGATGTAATCAAAGACACCATTTTTCTATGCACAATTCACAAATATCTATCAAGCTTATGGTCGGTACGGTAGCACTTTTTATGAACAGGCTTTATAATTTCTAAACAGCACTAGAAGTCTAGCGCAAGCATCTTGCTCTTGCACAGGTTCTTCTAATCCAAAATATCCATTGTGCATGGAGGGAGTGGACGAGACAATGGTGCAGGAGTCCAAAGGCTCAATGCAAGAGCGCATGCATAGGAAGCAAGACCATAAGAAACTGTGACTACTTGGAATAAAATGATTGGGAAGAGTGGGGGGTATGAGAGGAGTGGGGTGGGTCTATGACATAATTGGGGTGTGTAAACGGAGTTGGGGACATGAGAGGAATTGGGGGTATGGGAGGAGTGGGGAGATGGGTGGAGAGGGGGGTATGCGAGGCATGGCTGGTAATAGAATCGTGGTGGTTATGAGGTGAGTGGGGTGTATGAGAGGAATGGGGGGCATAGAGGTATGGTGGGTATGAGAGGAGTGAGGGGTATGAGAGGAACCGGGTTTATCAGAGGAGTGGAGGTTTGAAAGGAGTGAATGTTATGAAAAGAGGGGATGTGTGAGGAGTGGGGGATTCAAGAGGAGGCTGGTATGAGAGGAGTGGGGGGTATAAGAGGAGTGAGGAGTAACAGAGGGGGTATGGTAGGAGTTTAGGGGCATGAGAGGAATATAGAGGCATGACAGAAGTGGGGTTTACGAAAGGAGGGAGTTTATGAGAGGAGTGGGGAGTATAATACCGTCATTGCCCGGTAAGTAGACAGTGTTGAATAGTAGACAGGGGTTGTCTATTATCGGGGTGTCTCTTATAAACAAGCTCGCCTCATTATAAGACACCTATTTGTGTGTACGCGTTAAGCCAGTGTAGAGGTTAGGGGCAATCTTATAGCGAGGGGGTATCTTCTAAACAGTTCTTTCTCCATTTATAAGAGTTATAAGACACCCTAAATCGTCCCAAATACAAGACAACCCCAGCACTTTTGCCCGTGTACGAGATAAGACATATGTCTACTATCCGGGCGATGACGGTAGGAGTTGGGGTTGGGGAATGGTATGGGTGGGGGGTAAGAGTGGATAGGGGGGTGTGAGAGAAGTGGTGGGTATGAGAGGAGTGGTGGGTATGAGAGGAGTGGTGGGTATGAAAGGAGTGCTGGTGTGAGAGGAGAGGCGGCATGTGAATGGGGAGAGGGATAGGGGATATACAGAGGAATGTTTAGCTTTTCAAGCTTGATGTTTGAAGAGCCATATTCTGTCGAAAAACCCCAAAACAACCCTATACGTGAATCTAATTTACAATCCAGAAAATCATGCATGCAACAGCTAAAAGTTTCAGGAAGAAGGTGACAAGCATAAAATCTGGCCCATGGACAAGCCGAAGCTACAGTGTACTAGACACCCCAATTTTCCTGTCCCATTTTTGTGCTCATCAAAAGATGCCACCAGTATCCCTTCCACAGCCTCTGTCAGTGTTCCTAAGTGTCCCATACCATGTTTTCATTTGAAGCAAACAATTGGCATCAGAAGCACAAGGTAAACCAGTAAGCTACATGTGAAAACAAACTTGATTACGTGGAAGAGCCACTTGGCATGCCCCCCTCGCGCTCCGCACGGGCCATTTCAGCAGTGAAGCTGGAGGAGCCAATGGAGCTCCCAAGCTCCATGTCAATGCGAGATTTGGCCTCGCCCACATGACCCTCATGTGCTCCGGACGCCTCCTGCTTCAACTTCACCAGCTCCCAAAGCACTTGATTCATGGAGGGGCGGGAGGCTGCAGGCATGGCGGTGCACGAGAGGGCAAGGCGAGCCCAGCGCAGCACCAAGTCATCTGGTGCGTCCAAGTGAGGGTCCTTGAATGCCAATACAGCACCAGAGTCCACCAACGGGGCCACCTGCGAGGTTAAATGCATACATCACATGGAATTTGGTGATACAAAATGTTCACAGAGGTTCACATTAAAATAAAACCTGTGAAGAATGGTAGAAATGTGGCAACGCAGAGATTGATGGAATGATGTATGATCATAGGAAATTAGTGCTACATAGAAAGCAGGATGATAGGAAGGTGAATCCTATTACAGATGCAAGGTGTGATTCAAAGGTAAGTGCTCGTCTTAATCATTGCAGCATGTATCCTGTTGGGAATGGAGGTAAGGAGAACATGAATTGGCCTACATATGTTTGGCTAAGGGCAACAAGGAAACATTGATATTATCAAGCAAACTCACTACGCAGTGCAGCTGGCTTTCTCATACGTTGTGTTACAAGATCTGCCATCCTTGGCATGATACACTTCTGTCTCTCACCCATTGTTTGAGATTGATCTGGTTTTCCTCTGTTACATGGACAGCCTTGCGCGCCGTGATAACCACCAGCGTCACCACGCCAAAACTGCAACCCGTCAATAAACAAAGGCATCATACTTGAAATCACGCTCAGATGTACAAAAGCTTTATGGTCACAATGAAATTTGTTTCCCCAATCATTCCACAAGTGATCGTCACGCAAGCCCCATCACCAAGCATCACCAAGCTACTCGATTGGTAAGAACGCCTGGAAATGGCTTCAATGTCAGGCATGGACCTTCTTTGGGTGTGAGGCATAGGAAACATAGAAATCACTGCAAGCCCGAAACCCAGACCCTATCTTCCCTAGAAGAAACAAAAATCATGAGCATTTCTCATCAAATTTGGAAGCCTCCTTGAACAGTATTCTCATGCCAAAGTGCTCATCTGCTAACCTTCACTGTTTTCTCATGCCATTATAACTTGCATGGATTTGCTAGCATAACCTACTCTGCTCACCTGTGCCAATCTGCTCACCTGTGCACATCTGCTGCTGGAGTGGCCTTATGAGACTTGAAATACGCAGGGTCCACATAGCCCGGTGTTCCCATCACTCGAGTGGCAGCCACAGACGTGCCCATAGCAGTGCCCCCACCAAGCTTCACAAGCCCAAAGTCTGCAATCTTGGCCTGCCCATGGACAACAAGAGCATTGATGTGAAAGATTCAGAGCATGCGAGGCGATGCAAAACACCACATGATAGTTGCTAAGGGATGGATACGAGTAGGCATCTTTCACCATGTACAGCAAGGCCTACAACAATATTGACATGCCTGCATCTTTGCATCAAGGAGAATGTTGGCAGGTTTGATGTCGCGATGCACAATGCCAAAGTCATGAAGATACTGCAACCCCTTTGCCACTCCAATCAGAACGTCAAGCCTTTGACGAAGCAAAAGAGGATGGGAGACACCAGAACCAATCCAGCTCTCAAGGTCGTGGTTGGGCATGAACTCGTAAACGAGGATCTGCTCCATGAGTCGTGTGGAGAGGTCGAAGTCGATGCAATAGCCCAACAGACGCACAAGATGCGGATGGTGCTTGCTTGCCATCTCCTTCACCTGAGAGGGAAAACAGTAAACATATCAAAGGAGATTGAATAATCAGACCACCAGCTATGCTTGGGGTTGGCAGAAGAAACTAATGAGAAACGTGCCACTAACATATCAACAAAAACTCACACCATGGTACCTCTCTTTGGAAGTCGTTCGTGAGCACTCGAGCTCGCTTGACTGCCCAGGCTTGATTGCAATCGTGGGGCGACACACCCTTGTAAACATCCCCAAAGCTACCACTTCCTATCCTGTTCCCCTCTGCCCAATCTCCTGTGGCCTTAGACATCTCTGCCAAAGAGTACTCTCGACACACGTATGGCCGTGCTGCCTCCATCTCCACTACAAAGTCATCATCCTGCATCCCTTGTACTGCTGGTAATGGTAGCGCTGCTGCGGCAGCTGCTGCAGCTGCTGCAGCCTCCCCTTCCGCTGCTGCTGGGTCCTCATCCTCATTATTTGGTGCTGCAAAAAGATGAAAAAGATGGTGAACATGAAAGAGAAGACCGATAATTCAAGGGGCCTGGGAATTTAAACCACCTACTCTGAATTGCTAATGACCCAGGAAGGACCAGCAAGCACCATTCCTTCATTCGTTGATTCCTGACAAGTCGAGGTTAAGGCTGGATGAATTTCTACAAGAAGGTAAATTCAGTCACATCCATGGTGAACAGTTTCGCCAACTTTTTGTACTGCCATCTCAACACCATACCTGTGTGGCTGTGTGATACCATGGCAATGAACCCCAATCCAGATATCCAGCTTGAATTTTGATCGTTCAACTAGAACCAAACCTGCCCAGTTCGACCCAGACCCATTATTCCGAACTTGGGACTAGGCGATTCACATTCTGCAAAAAAAAAAAAAAAAAAAAAAAAAAACTAGCCAGTCTGGTTGTCTCATTTCCTCATGACTATTTCGCATAGAGCGGCAGGCAAAAGACAGTGCCATTACATGCAATTTTGTGGGGTTTTGCGCCGCAACCTAAAAATAAGGTTCGGACAAGTGATTCTGAGTCTTTAACCCAAAACTCATGAGTCAGACCCAACCAAGAAGACGGCTTGACATCTGGGAGGACCTGGAATGTTCCATGGTGAGAAATTGCACATGCATTTGTTGCTTTTACTCTTGGATTTTTTTATGATCTTCTGATTTTGATGATACTCTGATTTTCTTTCGATTGCCTGGCGTTTGCCTTGTTATTCCTTCATCTAGGCTCAGCATCTACGTAAATATCTTACCTTGAAACAAAATGTTATTTATTGATTTCTTGCCATCCACATTGGTGCTAGTATTGTCTCCTCCTGCTGTCCCTTTGGTGCCGTATCGCTTCCACAGAAGCCAGGTCAGCAGCACCAGCAGCACGAGGACAGCCACAGTGCCAGCAGCAGCAATGCCAGCAATGGCTCCGCTGGATAAACCGCCTCCAGTTTGGGAGAGAGAGGCTGTAGGCTCACTGGGAGATGACGTTGGAGGAGGTGGAGAGGGGTTTGGCACTGGCGATGGGGAGGGTGTTGGCACTGGCGACGGGGAGGGTGTTGGCACTGGCGATGGGGAGGGTGTTGGCACTGGCGATGGGGAGGGTGTTGGCACTGGCGACGGGGAGGGTGTTGGCACTGGCGACGGGGAGGGTGTTGGCACTGGCGACGGGGAGGGTGTTGGCACTGGCGACGGGGAGGGTGTTGGCACTGGCGACGGGGAGGGTGTTGGCACTGGCGACGGGGAGGGTGTTGGCACTGGCAATGGGGAGGGTGTTGGCACTGGCAATGGGGAGGGTGTTGGCACTGGCGACGGGGAGGGTTTCGGCACTGACGATGGGGAGGGTACAGTTATGGGGGTAGAAAGACAGATAGAGGGAAGGGAAAAGGCAATCAAACATGAGGATGGTGGTTGGCTTGGTGAAAGTGGATGTGGCATCAGGCACAGTTTGCATGGGGGGAGGAAGCAAAGGAAGGAAATGAAGGATAGAAACACGTATTCTTCAGTAAAAGCCATGAGGATGCATACAACAGAAGCACATATTGAGGAGTAGCAAAGCTGTAATTGTTACCGCACCTGACAGTGGAAAAGCTAGCTAAGTAGGTGGATATGCACTGTTCATTCTCTTAGCGCTAATGAGAGCAAAGCAAAAATGGGCTGTGAAAGCAGCAGCCACCAGCATAAGGTTAGCCTTACCTGGTGGTGGCTTGTCACATGTGGTGCAGAAGGAGCCGCACTGGCTGCAGAAAGCACTTGAATTGGTCTGTGGGACCACGCAGGTGCTGTAGTCAGGTGGGCATGTGATTGCAGTCGAGGATATGTTCCTGCATGCGAAACGGGTTCTCGAACGGAGCTTGTGACCGCAGCTGCATATGGAGCGTTTTCAAACTATGGATCGGGAATGGGTTTCAGCTCTAACTAAAGTGCTTTGAGGTTGGTATTTGAGATTTATGGTAACACGTTGTAATACTTTACCATGCCAAGTAGACATGAGCACAAGGGCGAACACTTGATTGTTTCTGGCCCAGAATGTTCAGGGCGAAAATGTTCGTGTTTGCCTTGTGTTTAGATCGTTTAGGGAAGAAACCAGCTGGAAATATAAACTTGCTGAAACCGCCGCCCATATCATAAATAGTAGCCCATTCTACACATCCTGGACTAGTGCACGGATGTTGAAAAGTTGAGCTTGAACATGCACATCCTGGGCTAGTGAACATGTTCAGGGCGAACTTGAAGGTGACGTGTTTGCCATGCATCGAACACACATGTTCAGCGTACCGAACATGTATGTGTTCGCCCGAACACTTCCAGGGAGGAAGGCGGAGGAAGGTGTTCGGGTGTTCCCCTTTGGGAGGTGAACACCTTGATGTTTGCCGAAAACGAACATGTTTGGGGCGAACATGTTCGTGTTGGCCATATCAGCAGTCTTCAAGACACATGATCCTGGATGGTGGATTTTGGCATCCAGGTTGGTGTGGCTATACTTGGTGGACGTTTGAGAGTGAAGGAAATAAAACAAGTAGATTTTTGTTCCGCCACAACTATTTCATTAGAGTCTAGGTACCCTAGCTGCTGAAGCTTGCAGTCTAGGCTGTGGAAGGAGGGTTGGGAATAAAGGCGAGCTAAAAAATGAGCTTGATTAGTGTGTTTCATCAACCATTTTTAATGAGCAGATTTGCGTTCGTCGGAAAGGGATGTCGAAACGAACACGAACATATTCGGCCTGAACACGTTGAGCCACAAAAACAAAACATGTTCGAGGCGCACCGAGCAGGTGCTTGCCCTCGTGTTCATGTCTAGTTACATGTATCCTGTGTATGTCTAATATATCCTGTGTACATAGAATTAGTGTAGACATTAAGGTTTGGTCATATTAGTTATAGGGTGTTCCTCGAGTAAATTTTATCAACAGCTAGGTACCCCAATTAAGCATGTTTCTCAACCTTGAGTACGCGGTTCCAGCCTGGACCCACGAAGTCCAACATTCGAAACGTGCTTTGGCAATCTTTGAGTGTTACCCACATCCCTATCTTGACTGTGGGTGAGTTGAGCATCCATTTGGCACCCCAAAACCATTGGGAACAGTTTCCTCACTTGACCAGCCCAAGTCGCCTCCAAGCTAGCCCTCTTCGAATTCTGTCAATTGGTTCATGTTTTGCTTGTATCCGCTTGCCTCGCTTCGGTTACGCGACATATTTCTCAAGCATTTCTGAACCAGCTTCACCTCGTGCACAATGTGCACGTTGAGTCTGTATTTTTACAATGCTCAAGTGCCTTACAGGTATGATAGAAGTTTGAGGTTGGCTATTGTTGGAGGGAGTTGGCCCGTGAGGTTGTTCTGGCTGACGTCTCTGCAATGGATGGAAATAACAGATAAAAGATAGAATAGAAACATTCAAAGCATTGCTAACAAGATACCTAACCGTGCATACATGCAGAAAATTTTACCTGTACAGGGATGGAAAAACAAAGGAATAAACCAAAGATCGGTTGATGTTAGGAGACAGTCAAAGGAGATGGAAAAGCCGTGGATTGTGGCAGGGGACGCATATCCTATTAGGCTATTCCAGGTCAACATGGTTAAGTTGCAATAGAGATTTCTGTTCACCCAACGTGACAGAGTCCAGTCAAGCATGAGATGCATAACCAGCTTCATGTGAGATATTTCCCAACCAGGCAAAACACATTTCAAAATCAACATAGGATGTTTGTTGGGCGGAAGAAGGTTAAGCCAAAGAAGTTACAATTCGGCACTAGGTTTTATATATACCTCCAACCTATAGCCAGTGCAAGATCTGTCAATGATCTCAAGTGAACCGACATTGTGTTACACACTGCATGCATTATGAGTTCCTTACGGTGTCCTGAGGCATGGCTGAAAACCATGCTCACGTAAACCTGGGAAAGAGTGATCTTGAAGTATCAAAGCAAGAGTGCATAAAGGCACGAACCACTTGTTAGGCTGCTCATGCTTGCATTGCAACCCCTCTCATTAGTCATAGCCAAGGGCAGGCGCCAGTTCACCCTTAAAACTGATAAACTAAGGGTGAATCCAAGTTTTGAACAAGCCTAGGATCAAGCTAGTCAAACCCCGCGTTGGGAAGATTATGACAACTACCATAAGTCCTGCTGGGTTCTGGTCTTCAGTAAAATCCTGTTCCCGTCCGACCGAGACCAGACGTTTTCTTAACTGCCAGCTCTGGGCCTCTTATTTATGAGCATGTGAGCGGTCATGTTGCCTCTCTTTATGATCTCTTGATGTTACTCACAAGACTTCGAGGTTTGTCATGTTGCCGATGGTGGATGGAATGGACCCAGTCAGCGCATTGTGGTAAAGATTCCTTATGGTAAAACATGCGAAGTGTTTTGCGGGTGGTAAGATTACATAAATAGGGCTTCAAATGTGTTTAAAAAAAGATACGGCGAAACACTAGTTACCAAGCACATGGGAAGGTTCCATGAAATTCAACAAGAATAACAAATGAATCAATTGGTAGGAGAGGGAAGATTGCTATAAAAAACCAAGAAGGACTAAAGAACTCATGACATGCTGAAATAAGATTGTGATACAAGCTATCTACTCTAATTTGTGCCTGATAAACAGGTGCTAAACGTTACCATCGACTATATAGCACAGTGTGCAAGAAATAGCCCTCAACAAGTAAAAGCGAATGAGAACAATGGGCAATTATTTGAGCCTCACACAAACATTCAAATATGTAGACATTCAGAAGCAACACAAAGGGATACTCATTACAAAACGTTAGTAGTGGTGGAAATGCATATCAGGACACGAGAATGAGTTGAAACTTGTGAGCGTGTACAGTGGTCATGCCTAGCATGTATGCTCGTTCTCAAATCAAGTTGACTTGGTGTTGCCATTGCAGGCCCTCTAATTTCTGAACCTGTGCGAGGTTATGTTGGCTCTCTGTCCTATTCCCTTCATAATACTCACAACCAAACGAGGTTTCTCATGTTGCCGATGGCAGATGGAATAGACCCGCTCAAAGAATTGTGCTCAAGAATCCTGATGATACAACATACAAAAGGGTTTATGGGTGGAAAGAAACATTGAATGCAGCAAGAAAATATTCCTAGTGAAAAACAGCACACTATATAAACAGTGCTGCAAGAAACAGCCCTTTTAACAAGTGAAAACAATGGGCAATGATTTGAGCCTCACACAAACATGCAAATATGTGGACATTCAGAAGCAACACGAAGGGATAAACATTACAAAATGTTAGTGGTGGTGGAAATGCATAGCAGGACACGAGAATGAGTTGAAACTTGTGAGCGTGCACACTGCTTAGCAGAGCGTGGTGGCGTGCCAATTGTGCACACAGACACATGTAAACACCAACAACGCTTCCATATCCAAGACCATGTTGGTGAAGAAGTGCACGGCAATGCTCTCATGTACAAAGTGGTCGAAATGGTTCAATATGATTCTGATCACCAAGAAGCTTACAAAATGGTTGAGTTATTCCGACTCATACTGAAGAGAAGGGATCGCGGCCTGTGACGTACCTTGTTGCTACTTCACAGGCAACCATGACCAATGATCCTCTTCATCAATCACAAGCCAGGGGTCCAAGACGGTGATGAACCCATGCCAAATTTCTTGCTCTGCTGGCTGTACTCAAGTGGAACTGTGCTGTCTTAATGATCCAAAAACTTGCTTGCTGAGCTTGCGCCGACAAGCATACTTCAACTCTTTGAGAAGCCTTGTCATGCTCGATGTAAAATGAAAGAATAATATCAAATACACTTATGAGCAGATGGTTGCTAGTTACCATGAATCGTCCATTTGAGTTCCAATCGTATATGACCTTCATCTTCTTGCTTGTTTTTACCTCAAAGCCACAGGAAGGAGCACTACATATGGATATGGCAAGAAGAAGCTTTTTATTTCATGTGAGCGTGGCAGTAAATTCCACGTACATCTAACAGCAAACTGGCATACCCATGGGGGTTTGATAAATTGTGACGAGCCAAAGAACAGCTGAAGCAGTAGTTAAGGGAATGAACCACAGCCATTCAAGCCAAAGGTGAAATGTTATCGAAATTCCTTGATACTGACAGGTCTGTAAGGTTGCTCATGCTGCCGATGGTGGATGGAATAGACCCATTCAGTTTGTTGTTCCAAAGATACCTGAGGATGTACACACGCATAGAGTTCCATCCGAGGAATAAGATCAGAGTTTGTGGTACCATAAGAGGCACTGTTCTGAATGTTACACAAGCACACCAAAGCAACAGTGAAGCCTATATAGCGCTAGTGAAGCAACAGTAAGCAGGCAAATTTAGGGTTGCAGCAGCTATTCCCCTCACTCTCACATTGGGGAGTCAGAGGCAGGAATCCATAGCTCAGGACGGAATGTGTGTGCTCAAAAGTGATACTAGGGCTGGTTGGATAATTGCTTATGCTCACAAATTCACGGGTGGGGATTT